CATGCGCCATTATTATATTATTTAATTTATATACTACTAATAATTTTAAAAATAGTTGTTACTGGCTATTTTACATATTTATTTTATAATATTATGAAGAAAGTATATAAAAAGGTAAGTTATATTTGATACTATATTATAATTAATAACTAAATAATTCGTGGGTAACGGGCCAAATGGATAATACACACATGCGTTTCCGTTTTACAAACATCACAAATTTGGGTTTAGTAGAACAATTGTGTGTAGTTAGCTTAATATTAGATATTGAATTAACCTATGATCAAACTTAATGGTAAGATTATGTGTTGTTTTTTTTTTTTTGGTTTCTCATGACCAATTTTATATTTTAATATTTTACATAATGATAACTTAAGTATTAAATTGAACCAAACTCAATGGATTCTATTGAATGCAATTTTACCATGTGTAGTTATAAAACGAAGACAATACATACCTTGTGTTTACAATTGTAAATTATTATTATAAAATTCTAGGATCAGACTATGAAATGGGTAGTGATGAAATTTACTGGCCCCAAGGCCGGACGCCCACTTGAGCAACGTCGCACGTGGCGTGGCAAGTAGCATGTATCTGGCATGTTATTTCGGATAAACCCAATTTAATTAGATAAGTGTGCGCCCACCTAACTGATATAGCAGTCACATGACGAGTAGCGTGCCACGTTACTGTCATTAGAATAGAGCATGTTCTATTTTCTTGCCACTTGCGTCTTGCGACTAGAGATTACAATCCCGACCCTATTTTACGATCCCGGGATTTCGGGATATTTAACTATTAATCCCGGAATCCCGGGATTATCCCGAAATTTAGTAAGAAAAAGTTTAAAAGAATTATACAAAAATTTTATTTTAATTTAATTCTGATTTAATTTTTATCATTGTATATAGTAAAAATGTTTTAATAATTACAATTATACTCGTATGTTCTACTTATGTTGAAAATATGAACGCAAGAGTAGTAGAGCGTCTAATGTTCCATCTCCCAGTCTGCTTCTCAGTTTATTTCCCATGTAGGCTGCTGCTGAAAATGCACGTTCTGACTCAATACTAGTTGGAGGAATAGACATTAAATACTTAAATGCTAGTTCTAAATGATGCCCACGAGTTCCTCCATTTTCAAATAAATTCATTTCTTTTTTTATTATTTTAACCAAATCAGTTTCTCTTTGTATTTTAGGATCGATGGTTCTTTTACTTTTGCTTATTTTTAGCTCCAATTTTTCTTTTAATGTCAGTTGAGTAAATTTAATAGATTCACGTTGTTGTTGTTCTTCTTTAATAGGATAATTTTCAATATGTATCCTTTCAATTAATTTTATTATTTGTTTTCTAATGAAATCATTTTTGGGTAGTGAAAATAAATCTTTTAAACATGTTATTTGATCATAGTCATCATGAGGATTCTGTAAATAATTCAGTACACCAGATAACTCTGGACGTCGTCGTTTTTTTATACGATTACTCAAGCATGTCCTCATTTCATTGGCGAGTATTGAATTTTTTTTCAAACAATTCTTTGAAAAGAAATTTAAATGCAGCATCGGTAGTGCACAAAGTGGCATCACGACGACCGATTGCTTCCACTGTCAATTTAACAGGAGTAAGTACTTCAGTTATCTCAGTTATTAAGTTATAATCAGAATCTTCTAAACGAACTGGGTGGTTGAGATCCATTAAAGATTTTTGAATACAGGTTTTTAAAAGAATAAAACGTTCCAACATATCAAGAAGACTATTCCACCTCATTTTACAATCCAGGAGTAATTTTATTTCTTTTCCATACTCTGCTTTAACATATTTTTGAAGTATTGTGTCATTTTTTGTCGGAGATCTTTTCAAATACATTACAACTTTGCGTATTTTTTTTATTACCACACTAATATTATAGTCATTGGTTAAATCTGGTATGTCTCGGATAATATCATTTTGCGGAAGAATATTTAAACTTGAATCCGGAAAGTCTAAATTCTTCATTGTCATCTTCATCATTATCCTCATCATTATCTTCATTATTATCTTCATCGTCATCTTCGTTTATATCACTTGCAATTGATTCTTCTCGGACATTTTTTTTGTTATAAAGTACATCACAAACAGCTAAATGAATACCATGAGCGAAACATAATTGATGTTCAGTATTAACAATTTTACCTACTTTTAACATAACATTTGGTCCGTCGGTTACAGTCGCGACAATATCTTTTTCTAATGAAATATCAAACTGAACTAGTCGTTCTTTCAATACATAAATACAGTTTTCAGCTGTCATTGAACCATTTATTCGAATAAGACCTAAGCTCCAATATTTTTTTTGTGAATGGACGTTAATATTCATATAACGTTTGTTGGTCGTAGAAGTCCATCAAAAGAACATCAAAAGTTAAACTAAATCTTTTACCCGTATTTTTTAATTGTTTCAATTCGTTAATTATAAGTTTTCTGATTGTAAAACTAAAATTTACAACACGATTTCAAATTGTTACGGCTGATTTTGGTAAATCAGAGTAACCTTTAGATATTAATAAATGTCTTAAATCATTAGAAGTAATAAAAACAATAAATGGTAAACCATCCAAAGCTATCATTCGAGCCAAAACATGATCCAGTGTATCACTCTTAATAAAATAATCGACTAACTTTCGTTTAGCTGGTCGCGGTGACGAATTTTCTTATATCGGTTCTCTATGGGCAGGCCCAGTTAATGAACAGTTGCCTTCAGATACAACTTTAAAATTATGTTTTGATAACAAATGCGTGTGTAAACCTTTTGTTGATCCACCCAACGTTTTTAATACGGCTAAACATCGTTTACATTGCGCACTTTTTCCATCGTTGGCGATCAGGAAATGATTCCACGCTGACGAGGTATCTGTATCTTTTTTATGTTTAGTAAAAACACTAATACTCGACATTTTATAATAAAAGTATTAACACAGTAAAATAAAAAAACCCGTGACCGTATCGCTACGCGTTGTATGAAACAGCGAACAGCTACTAATTTGTTCATACGTATACCGATCGGTCGTAAACTCGTAATAATCATATAAGTATAATCTCATAATACAATTTTATCTTATCTTACAAATACTTTGATTTTATAAATCGAGTCACCATTACATAGTCCCGGGAATCCCGGTATTAATTATACTGGTCCCGGTATTTTCGGTACCAAAAAGTAGTCGGGATCCCGGGATCCCGGGATCTGGTATCCCGGGATTGTAATCTCTACTTGCGACGCATCATCATTGTACAAAGTTTTTTTGGTGTCGAATTATAATTATTAAAATTTAAAAATATGAGAGACGATCCCGATTTTAATATACGTTTTGTCAGTATTATTGAAAATAATCTAATGCTTTACGACCATACTATCTCAGATTATTGCAATAAATACGCTGTTGATAGAACCTGGGAAAACGTTGCAAAACAGCTATCTGAATCTGGTAAGTAATTATATTTACTAATTTATTTTCAGTTTTTTCTGTTTTATTACGTAACAATATCTTACTAACCTAACTTACTTAACCTGGTCATTTTACAGTAGTTTTTTTCTTCAAAATTTGTTTTCGATATAATAAAAATTAAAAATAACAGTTATTTGACTAAAATTATTTTTTGTTATCTACATATTATTGCACTGTATCTACACTTGTTACGTCAGTCAGTTTGTTCACAGCATAATTGGTTAAAATATTTTAACTCTCAAAATAAAAGCTGGATTTAGGAAAAATAAAATAATAATTTGTTATAGGTATATGTATATGTATTTACATATATAAAACTATATTATAATTTCCGAATTCGTAATAATTTGTGTAATATATTATAATAGTACTAATGTTTTATAAAAAGTAAATTTATTTAATATTAATACTTAATTTTTATTAAAATTGTTTATTTTTAAACGGTATATTCTTCTTGCCATGGTAAAATTTGACCAGGCTTTAAAAAAAATTTACATAATCGATTTCTTAAATGTATAGCATTGTTTGTTGATCTCTGATTATTTCTTTGACTTTGGTTTGGTTGATCTTCATTTAAATAATTTGTTGTATCTTGTTCCATAGCTGGTTCTGAAAATGTTCCTTCGTGAATACGTATGAAATTATGTAGTACACATAGAGCCTGTATGATGTTATTAATTCTTCCCACATTACAATGAATTGGTGTTTCCAAAACTCTAAACTTTGATGCAAGCATACCAAAAGAACATTCTAATGATTTTCGACCTTTTGAAATTCTATAGTTATATATTCGTCTTTCATTTTTGAGTTGTCTACGAGGATATGGTTTCATAATATTATTAGTGAGAGGAAAAGCTTCGTCTGCTACAAAATAATAAGGGAAAACTTCTTCTTTTTCTGGCAAAGGAGATGGTTCTGGAAGTTTCAGTTGTTTGTCAAATAATGCTTTTCCGAATGCGCTTTCCTTCAATGCTCTGCCATCGCTATTCCTCTCATATTCACCAACGTCAATTGATAAAAATAATCCGTCAGCGTCCGATACAGCCATTAAAACTATAGCAGTGATAGTGATGAAGGTAATAAGTATTTTGCATATGAATTAATTTTAGTTCAAATGTTTTAATTGAATATTATAGTACACATAATAATATATTTTATTATTAACCTTAATTTACCTTAAATGTATTTATCATTTGGTTTAATGTTTTAGATAATGTTGGATTTGTTATTAAACCTTTATCTGGCATTCATACTAAAAATGAATGTTTTGTTGAATCAGAAGAAACAATTTTCACAAACTTAGAACCTGTACCACTGTCAACATATGGCTATGGGGATTTAAGTTTTACTTTTGATTCAACACCTATTGTATGTCCTTCAACATCAAAGTCTAACCCTGAAGTACAAGTAATTTATAAAAAAAGTGAAAATGATTAGTATACAATATATCCAAAAGAGACCTAAATAAACATTGATAAAAATAATTTTTGAGCTTAAAATTATTCTTATGGATATTAGATTACAATACATTTTGTCAAAAAAAATTTTTTTTTTTTTAAGGAAATATGTTAATTTTTATATTTAGCAGGTATGAGTTATGAAGAACTAAATTATTCAAATTTGGAAAATGTTTTACTAACTGAAAAACATTCAGCTGAACCATTGCCTAGTACATCTAGTGGTAAGATAAAATATTTTTGAAAACATACTGAGGTACCTCATAATATATCTATAATCTATATAAATATTACATAATATATTCATCGTATAATTATATCTATATTTATATATATATATATATATATATATGGAATTTTTACCAAATTAATGTATAGGTTTACAGTATTTTTATGGTGATCATTTTGCCATCAACTTATTTTATAAGTTTAAATTTTTTTATTATTTATATTTATTATTTTATTATTTAAATTAATAATTAAAATATTCATTTTTATTAAAAGAACTAAAAAGTATTTTAAAAAAAATTCATTGTGAATTACATGCCAATTGTATGATGGGTGAACAATTGTGGAATCAAATGAATAGTTTGAGAAGTAAATTCGCTAACATTAAACACCAGATAGTACCAGGATTAAAGTTTTCAAATGATACCAAAGATACAACATTTTTAGATCAGTTTCCATTTTCCACAGAAGAAAGTGTTTTAGTTTGTGACAAACTATTACAAGGAGATGATAATGTTAATGAACAATTTGTATGTTTATGTACTAAATATATAAAATTTTGAATTTAATTGAAATGCTTTTTGTTAGAAATATTTTCTTCACTCAGTTGGTGGTGTGGATGCAAAAAATCATACTCGCAGAATTCTAAATAAATTATATAGTAACAAATTAGCAATCAATTGTTCATGGACTGGTAATGCATTCGAGAAAAACATATCTAAATTTAGAATTCAAAATTTACAAATAATTTCAGTAATGAAACGTGTGTGATATAATATTTTCTTTTACTAACTAGTTATTTAATGTGTTTTTAAAATTAATAAATATTTTTGTAAGGTGTTATTAAAAATGATCACCAACAATGTTCAGATTCTACTTTTGAAAATTATGTTCAATCTTGGTTTAGATCTACAAAAAACGAGATTCGACAGAGAAAAGTAATTTTTTTTATAAGGAGATAGAAATTATTAGAGTTTATTAATTTTTAAACCATCTTTATATGTATAAAATGTTTTAACTGGATATTTTATGTTTTGATATTGAAATGATAATAAAATAGGTTTTGCGCAATCCATTAAAGAGATTGAATGACTCTTAGCATTTTTTTGAAAACACTTATCGGGGATATTTAAGCCTAAATATCTTATATATATATTATTTTTTTTAATTTACTGTTTTTAATTAATTCATTTTTTTGTTAAAGTAATTTTTTTTCTTTTTTTATTAGAATATCCAAAAATTATAAAAGGGTTAAAAATATCGGATCTATATCTAATCGTCAATTCAAGAGACGAATTAAAGCTCATTTAAAAGTAAGAAACAATTTATTTAATCTTGAGTCTTAATGTTTTGCTAACTAATATTAATTTGTTTGTAGACTATATCCAATAAGTCACATACATTTAATACACAAATGAAGGAGTCTTCTCTTATTTGTACAAGCAGTACAGTTATCAGTACATGTAGTACAACAATATCAACACCCACCAACATTTTAGTAATGAGTGATTCATCAACTTTTCAATGTTCTTCAACTTCAGATGAAAATTCCCAACTATATTCAATTATTGAAGATGAAACTCTTGAATCTGTTAAAATGTCTGATAAATTAAGATCTTGGGTTGTTAAATATAATGTTCCTCATAATTGTTGTAATTTTCTCCTTAAAATAATGAAAAGTGAAGGTTTGAAAGTTCCTAATGATATAAGAACTTTGATGAAAACTCCCAAAACTCATAATATTGTTAATTTAACTAATGGTTCATATATTCATTTGGGAATAAAAAATATGTTGCTACCTATTCTGAACAAAAATAATGCTAATATTTATATACCTTATAATATTTTAAAGATAGGCATTAATATTGATGGCCTTCCTATTTTCTAGGAGTTCTAAATCACAATTGTGGCCAATACTAATTTCCATTTTAAATTTTAAAGAGTTTATTAATAATGTTATAACTGTAGGAATTTATCATGGATATACAAAACCTAATTCTATTGAAGAATTCATGAATCCATTTATTTTAGACCTCTTAAGTATTATGAATTCTGGTTTGAATGTTAATGGAACTCTTATGAAATTAGAAATAAGTAATTTTGTATGTGATTCTCCAGCCAAAAGTTTCCTTTTAAATGTGAAGTCTCATAATGCATATTTTGGGTGTACTTTATGTCTAGAAGAAGGTACATATGTAAGCCATGGAATAGTGTTTCCTGGAGTAGATTCAACATTAAAAACTGACTATTCTTTTCGAAATAGATTTAATGAAGATTATCACAAAGGACTTAGTCCATTGGAATTATTGCCAATTGATATAGTAGATATTGTTTGTCTTGATTATATGCATAATGTATGTTTAGGTGTAACAAAAAGATTAATTGAATTTTGGGTAAAAGGTAAAAAGGATATTCGAATGGTTGATAATAATATTCAAGAAGTGATTATTAAATATAAGAGATTATATACCATCTGAATTCTGTCGTCTACCTCGACCACTTAATGATATTGAATTATGGAAAGCTACAGAATTAAGATTTTTTTTATTATACTCTGGTCCTATTGTTTTAAAAGACAAACTTAAATAAACCAATATTCTCATTATTTACTACTAGTTTTTGCCGTTAGGATTTTTTTATGTACTGAAACTTGTTTTACATTAAATGAAAAAGCAGAATTTTTACTAAAAAAATTTGTTCAGGAATATTCTATATTATATGGCAAACATTGCATATCTTATAATGTACATAGTTTAATCCATCTTCCTAAATTTGTTAGAACTCATGGGTCATTGGATAATTTTAGTTGTTTTCGTTATGAATATTATTTACAGACCATAAAAAATTCCTTAAAATCAAATAAATATCTACTTCAAGAAATTCATAACAGATTAATAGAAAAATAAAATTTAGAACTATCCCAGAAATATAAGATTCCTACAATGTACACCCCATCCAATGAAATAGAGCACAATACATTTTCTCAATTTTATTGTATAAATGATAAACTCTATGAAAAAATAATTAACTATTCAAGATTAACGATAGATATTTCTAAAGAAAAAAATAAATATTTGTTATTAAAGGATAACTCTTTAGTTGTTGTTGATAAAATTATTAAAAAAAATATGTCATAACTTAAATTTACTTGTAAGAAAATTTTTAAATTTTAAAGAGTTTACTGAAAACCCATTTTTATCCATAGATGTAGGCTTTTACATAGTCAACATTAATGAACTATCTAATAGTTATTTAATAAATATTTCAAGTATTAAGTATAAAATGTTCTATCTCCGAATGCGTAGCACTTCATCAATAATGGTTACATTATGTCATGGTGTACAATTTTAATTTGTTTATTTTGTTTGAAAAATTGAAATATGTATACCTTTGTAATATTTAATTAATTTTGATATATTTATTATTTTAACTGTTATGACTATATTCTATTTATTATTTTTACTTTTTATGCATTGTAATACAAGTACAAATGTAACCATAATACTAATGTATTAGGTATTTATTTTGTTGTTTTATTAAATTTATTACAATAAATTAAATATTTTTCAATAGCAATTGTTTTACTTAATTTTTTATATCTATTATAAATTCTTATTTTATAGTAAGCAGGGTGAACTTTGAGAGTTAATTTATTCTATAGTTTGTATAAAAAATATTTTGACAAGTGTTAAAAGGATTAGGTGAGTTAAGTATTTACAATTAGTGTAATCGCATTTAATGTGCTTGAAATAAAAATTACGAATATATTTCATAGGGGAACGGAGGGGGATCCTAACTGTATGTTCATTTTAAGTCACAAAGGAACACAACTGGAACATATTATTTAAGACTATTATTTGATAGTACTAAAAACGTCCCAGGAATAGTTATTAGAAGAACATTTTTGGAGTGTTTCTAAAACACTATTTATGTCATATATATCTGATAACAGTTAAATAATGTTTCACATCATGTTACAAACAACACGGCATAAGGCGTTTCTATGCTGTTTTTGGAACTCTTATGTATGTTCCATAGGAACGTTTCAATGTTTTTTTGGAACGTAATTTTTATGTAACTGAAACATTATTTTGCACAGTGGAAGATCACAAAGCTAGCACAAAAAGAAATAGAGCAGTTTGATTTCGTCAAATCATTAAGTTTTAAGTTTTTGCCTAACCAATAAATATATATATTTTTACATATTTTACATAAATATTAAAATTCATTTTACCATAAATT